TACCGTGATATCCAGGACACACTTCAAGGAGTCAGACTGGAATTTGGTCTTCATTCACCTACGGTGTTGGGATTGCCACTGTGGCTGTATTGGAGATGGCTGAATCAGAGGTTCCCCCTCTCCCCATCCTTTCCAAAAGATAGCTGTCTGCCACCCCAAAATACCTCATTTCTTTTCTCATGACACTGTTTCCAGGCAAGAAAGTCTTCCTCACCCTCCTGCAGATTCTGATCTTCCTTAAAACTTAAAACAAATCGGTTCTGAAGATGTGTGAAACTTTGTCTTTCCTTTTGACTGCATTTGTTTATTGTTTTCCCTCTGAAAAGAAGAGAATCTGTTCAGAGCAGGAACAAGGCTTGCTGTTACAGAAAGAGCAGGCTGTTGGTGTGTTTAGAACAGGGTAAGAATCCCTCTGACAGCCTTTCACCTGCCCATGTCAGATTTGTAGTGGGTAAAAATAAATATGCGGACTGTGTAGGTGCTTTCCTGGATGATTTTACCTGAGGATTAGCTCCTGGGGACTAGCGGCTCCCATCTGCTGGTTTGGGATGGTCCCTGTTTGCACCCACAATTTGCTGCAACAGCCCTGGCTCCCCCACTGCCCTCTTACACCACCCTGCTCCCTGCTCTGCAGCAGCCGCCCGCCTTACCTTTGGCAGAAACTTACCTTCTGATCGAGACAGCCTCACCCACATCAATAAATATATAAAATATGCTATGTTATGATAGAAGAGTTGCAAAAGCAAGACATACACTGTGGAGATTAGCTCGAGACACACTCTGGGTGGCACATGTAACTGTTGTGGCCAGACTGTAAATCAGGGTGGAGAAGGAAACGGGAAGGTTGATTCAATGCAGCACTCTAATTTTTTCCTCCCATCAAGGGAAACTGGGGTACCAGTATCTTACTGGACTGACAGTCACCTTCCTCAGGGACAAAGAACAATAGATTGACCTTCAGTCCCAAAGCTCAGCCAACGAGCTGGCAGCCTTCGTGCCACTGGTGCCACATCTGCTTTGATGCATTTCTGGTCTTCCACTCCCTACATCCTGCTTTCTGTTGCGGGTTTTGGTGTAGAATTTGGATAACGGCATGTAATTTTTATGGTAATATGCTTTGGTTTCTCTTCTCACTTAGATTGCTGAACATAAACTCCAATTGTATTTGTTCTTTAAAGCAGCTGGCAAGCATGATCTTACTACCATTTGTGCATCAATAATTCCATGTCATCTCACTACAAAATAGCAAATTTCCTTCTATTTGAGGGGTTTTGGCACAAAAATCTGACTTGGAGATTGATAATATCTCTCTCGTTTAGGAAGAGCTTTGCTGACTCCCCAATGATGATCAGTTCCATATAACATATAGTTCAAGCTTGTCTTTCTGTCAGAGCTCACAAATATCATATGTATCTGCTGAGCTAATATATTGTCTTTCTGTATTTGTATTCTGCAGTTGATTGTTCAATGATTTCTCCTGCTGAATTGCAATAGATGAGCTGTTTAATGTTGCAACGGCTGATTTTGTAATGTAAAAACAAAAACCCTCTCAATTCCAGATTGTGTTTGCAAGTTAGAACGCAGAATTTAAATGAGTTTTAGATGGAAGATGTATTTTTCCCATTGTTTCACCAATGCAGAAAGAAAACAAGTCTTCACTCTTTCTAAAAGAAAATCAAAGAAACCATGGCAAGAATTTGTTTTGCAAGGAAGGAGCATCAATAAAAACTAGACTTGTTCTCTTCTACATATTTGTGTCCACATTAGTGTTTTTTAAAAATACTTTCTTAATGCAGAAACAACAATTTCCAAATGGTACGTCTTTTCTGACGGATGTTAACATTTCTAAAAATGAGCGGTTTAAAAGATATTTGTTTTACCTTGATATGTCTTCTGGTACTGAGTCTATGTATGTTTCCACAATATTCTTGATCTTCTTTTCGTCAAAGTAGCTCAGATTTAAAATTTATTTTATGTTTCTACTGGAGAATTGTGGTAGTGAATGGAAATGAATGACTCCAAAGTAGATGCTGGATTTTGTAGCTTTTATTGACAAACTGCATGAGATGGGCTCCTGACTGAAACACCTGACTGTTGCTTCAAATGCCAAGTTGGTATTTACTGTGAGGCGTAATGATTTCATGACTCTTTACCCACCTACGTGAGGAAAAGCACCAAAGAGGACTAGGGCGTATATGAAATTATCCTATTAGCTTCTGCATTTCGTGGCAGCCTTGGCTGTGCAGTGACCAGCTTGCTTCATCTGCAGAGTTGGGGTCCCCAGCAAAGTGCTGTGGTGTGTTGGTCTAGTGACCTGAAAGGTGAACCCTCCCGCCACGCTGCAGGGATGCTGCTTCGGCACTCCACTTCAAAAATTAATTATCCTGTTACAGTATCATAGACTAAACCATCATTAAAGTTGTGCACATTTAAGACTGAATTATGTCTGATAAGGAGTGCTGAGATGAAGATCGAGATCAGGAGATTAAAGCTGAAGATCAAGATAAACCCATATTTGAAGTACAGTTTTTAACATAATGAACAGAAGAAATAAATGACCATTAAAGGTAGGAACTTGTGTGCGGAAGATTTTCAGAGGTGCTATTGTTGCTGCGTAACAGTGGCTATAAATGTGTTACTGTCTTCATAATTATTTTTAAGTATGTTTTTAAGAAGGATGCCAGGGTCCCACCAAAGCTGCTTGGTCACTCCCCTCCTCAGCTGGACAGGGGAGAGGAATTATAACAAAAGGCTCGTGGGTTGAGATAAGGGCAGGGAGATCGCTCACCGGTTACCGCCACAGGCAAAACAGACTTGGGGAAAATTAATTTATTACCAATCAAATCAGAGCAGGATAATGAGAAATAAAAATTAAATCTTAAAACACCTTTCCCCCACCCCTCCCTTCTTCCTGGTCTCAACTTCACTCCCGATTTCTCTCCCTCCTCCCCACCAGCGGCTCAGGGGGACGGGGAATGGGGGTTGTGGTCAGTTCCTCACCCCTTGTCTCTGCGGCTCCTGCCAGCAAACCTGCTCCAGCGTGGGCTCCTCTCTCCACGGGGCCGCAGGTCCTGCCAGGAGCCTGCTCCAGCCTGGGCTTCCCACGGGGTCCCGGCCTCCTTTGGGCACATCCCCCTGCTCTGGCGTGGGGTCCTCCCCGGGCTGCAGGTGGGCATCTGCTCCCCCCTGGACCTCCCTGGGTGCAGGGCACAGCCTGCCTCGCCATGGGCTGCCCCACGGGCTGCAGGGGAATCTCTGCTCCGGCCCCTGCAGCCCCTCCTGCCCCTCCTGCTTCCCGACCTCGGTGTCTGCACGCTCGTTGTTCTCACATATTCTCACTCCTCTCTCCAGCTGCAGAGTTTTCTTTTCCCCCTTCTTAAATACACGATCCCAGAGGTGCTGCCACCGTCGCTGCTGGGCTCGGCCTTGGCCAGCGGCGGGTCCGTCTCGGAGCCGGCTGGCGTTGGCTCCATCGGGCACGGGGGAAGCTGCTGGCAGCTTCTCACAGAAGCCACCTCTGTAGCCCCCCGCTAACAAAACCTTGCCGTGCAAACCCAATACAAAAGTATTCAAACTAGCATGATTTTCTCTGATAATGTATGAGCATGTATGTCTTTTAAAAGTGTATCATGACTTTAATAACTGTTTTGCAAAAAGGCTGCTCGTGTTCGGTAACAATACTTCTGTCATGAAACTTCCTTGAGTATTTTTAGCTTTTTCTAGTGTTTGCACTGTGAAATGGCAGTATTTAAAAATATTTGAGAAGCAAAAAATGACCCTGCTAAGAACTGAAGAGAATTGTCAGATATTTTAAATTGCTAAGAAGTAAAACTGTTAACACTTATGTCCTCACTAATTATATTCTGCATATCTACGTTCCCCTGACAACTTCTGATGCATCTGGTATCACTCTACCTAATGGCTGAGGGCTGTTATGTGACAATACAAAGCAAAAATAGTTTATTCCTCTGAAGAGCTCTGCCATTGCTTGTGGAGAAGCGTGTGATGGGATCCCTGGAAGCTGTTATGTTTTAATGCTGTAGAGTCAGAAAAGGTTTTACTGTAGTGCCCTGTAAGTCCCAGGTAGACGGATCAGTGATACACAGACTCGAAGCTTTGGTTCAGCTCCATGTATGTGTCATGATCTTCTCCTTGTTTAACGGGAATGTTCATGTTTCTCAACCCAATAAGCTGTTTAGCAGTTGTATAGGACTGAAGTCCAATGGAGACAGAAGCATCATCACTCTGCAAGAAAGCACAGGTATTCTGGGCAGGTTCCTTCAGCACTAGTTTCTATTAGAGATCAGGTTGCTGGAAACACAAAATTCACCCCACGCTTTGCCACCGAGTAGCTGATGTGTTGCTGTGCTGTGTCCAGCTGGAGCAGCTCTTTGTTTCAGTCAAGGAGAACAAATGTGTGCAGCAGAGCAAGGAGGCCTTGAGCTGAACAAACTGCTCAGTGATGCAGGGGTTTCTACAGGAGAGGCGTGTTGTGGGCTCAGGGTTGTTCTGGTGTGTCGCTGATTTGACCCAATGACACAACACTGGGCCCAAACCTCTGACAAGCCAATTCGGTCTCAATGACACTGTAGCGCCCTTAAGGGTATTTGAGGCGGGGGAGAGTGTTGTCTGATCCAAGTGAGAAGACTTACACCTCCGATTCTGCTAACATCTCCTGGGTCTTAGTGATGATTTACATTAGCATGGAGTCACCTGGGAAATGAAGTATCAAAAGCAGCTGCAGGTGGTTTTCTGATGCCAAGGGTGGCACATACCTGTGTGAAATTCTTCTCAATGTGCCTGACAGCTCAGGTTATCTGTGGAAGCTTTTAATAGGGAAAAAAATCAATTCCCTGTGTTGTCACTGCCCTACACTTGAGCACATTGCTGTTTTGAGGAAAGAACGGCTGTTTATGGGGAGAATGCATGTATCGCTTTAGCATTTGGGATTTAGCAAAACCAGTAACGGTGTCTTCATCTGGAAGAAAAACAGCTTTATGTGCAACAGAACAGCAACATATTTATTAAATCCTTGCAGGTTTAGTTCATTTACTGCACCAAGAGGCAGCTCTGTTCTTCTCAGTGCTTTTCATTTATTGCACCACGCTGTGGGACAGCACTGTCCCATCACCCAGCTGTGCTCACTAATGAGACGCAGCCCCATTGTACAGCACGCCTGAGGCCCGGAGGAGCATAACGAACGCTAGTTGGACCCCAATCCTGCTGAAGGCCACGGGAAGCGCTGGTCCATTGGTCTTTTGCTGGAAGCTGTTGACAGGATCAGGTGTACATGGAGCTGGTTTTCAGCTGTTTGTTCCTGGCCTTGTGTGTAACTCTTCCAGCAGTATTTATAAAGACAACCAGTTCGTTACTGGGTTCTGTTCAGTTTAAACCCGTTCTGAGAAGGGCTGTGGGGTGTTTTCCAGAGCCTCTCTGTGGGCGCTTGGAGATTTGCCTGCTTGTGCTGGTGACAAAAATGTTGCCTCACTACCTCCTTCGCCCTTGCTACCCCCGCAGTACCAGAACAGGCAGGAGCAGGGGCTGGATTTTCTCTTGGTTTTACTTGGCCAGAGCAAAGGCAGCAGGTTGCTGATGTGCAGTGATGAGGAAACTCCTGTTCTCTGAGGAGGCTGCACAGTTCAGAGCCAGCCCAGATCGCGTGTCAGATCCCACCGTGAACCTGCAGATCCCTCCGGTGCTTAGAAAAACTCTGATGGGGAAATCACTGGGAAACACACACTGACCATATCTTCTCCTCTCCCTGTAGTTACTGCCTGAGTAGGGATTGTTTACTTATTGCTGCCTTCCCTTCCAGAGAAGCATTTTTGAAAGGCAGATCTCTGATTCTGAAAGTTGAGGATAAAAGAAACGGAGTTGCTGAATAATTTGAGTTTATACAAAATGTATGTAGCAATGCACGTATTGACTTATTCCAGTGAATATGAAAATTTATTGTCCCTTGAACTAAATATTGACACAGACAGAGCAGTACCAATATTTATCTCTCAGGTTAATACATTTTTATATTCACCTCAACTTACATCAATATGTGCTTATTATTATTATTATAATGTTTGTCCTTCAGCAGAAGAAACTTGCATGTGGTTGAGAGGGGAAAGGAAGGATTTATTAGTATTCTTTTCCCATTTTAAACTTCATCAGATGCTTTATCCTGCACGTTGAGCGCATTGCAGCCCTCATTCAAGCAAAACCTTTATTGTTGGTTATGACACTATGCACTGGATACAGGACTGTGTGACTGATTTTGGGGAAATGCAAAGTTAACTGTCACTAGTGGAAGGGGCAGCAAAACCACCACTTCTGTTTTATAGACTAGTTGCTTGGTGGCACTTTCTGTGGTGACTGTAACTAAGAGCTACTAACGGCTCACAGAAATGAGGCATGGTGCTGAGTGCAGGACACAAATCGACAAGACTTTGATTCTGGGATCCAGCTGTGAATTGCTGCCCATGAAACGACGCTGTTAATGTTGAACAGGGGGACACCTGCAGATCTGGTAGGAGCCTTACGGTAAGCTTATCTCACGCCTGTGTTACGTGTGGCACTCAGTGCCTGCGTGCCAGCTGGAACTTTATTTATGGGCACTCTGATACCGTAGAGAACACAGTGGCCTATTTGGGCCTCCTGCATTTGTTCCAAGAAGCATATAAGGGCAAGGAGAGTGTGGCCACTTCACTGTGTCTGAAGCAGTATAATCCTGATCTGTCCTGGTGCCTTTTTATCATGGGTCTACTAGAGAACAAGGAGACAGAGGTTTCCCAGCTAGATGATAAGGGCAGCCTGCACAAAAAGGATGCAGGCATGACTGCACTGAATGTCCCAAGACTTGCTTGGGATCTTCCAATGCCTTTCAGCCCGCTTTATGCTGTAGGGACCCGTTTATGTGGCGATACAAGCTCTGGCAGTGAGGCAGAAACAGTGGAAGTTCCACAGAAGCACTGAAAAAATGCTGCTGTTCCCTGTGGATCTTGCTGAAGGGGCAGGCAATAACCAGACTGGGAGCAGTAGTAAAAGGTGTGTTCCTCTCTCCCACCCCCTGCGCATCCTTCTGCGCCTCAACAGCAGTTGCTGTTGGGCAGAGAGAGGGGTTTGAGTCCCATGAAGAGCTGGGTAGTGGCTGATCCCCAGGTATTCACCAGAAGCTAAAAGCTGAAAGCTTGGATCTGAAAAGATACCCAGCTGCTGGCAGACCAGAGAAACTTCTCCCAACTCTTACCTGCCAGAAGCAGCACTGGTAGGAAATCCTTGAGGCTGGAAAGCAGAGAAGACAGTCTCCTCCTTAAGGTGCTCCAGCCTTTCTCGGTTTATCACCGCTGAGGAAGTGCAGCCTGAATCGCTCCTGCTGCCGGCAGCAGTGCCGAGCCGTGCCGACAGCCGTTCGGTGCCATTCTGGTTGGGTTCTTTGTTGCACTTACAAGTCAGAGTCGCAGCAAAGAAAGGAACAGCTGTTTGTAAACTGACATTTAAAAGACAATTGTCAGTAGACAATAAGCATATGGTAGCTGACTTCACACATGCAGACAACTGCAGCGGCACAGAGCAGCTGCAGAGGCTGGAAGACAGCGCTGCATTGATCTGCAGTTGGGAAGGTCATCGCAGTGATTGAAGACTGTGTTGTGGCTTGACTTTTTTCTTAAAAGCTAGAGAGAGAATAAACTAGTGACGTATGTTCCTATTTCTAATAAAAAGCAAGATTTTTTTTAGTCCTGGTTAAAATAATAAACATAACATAAATACGTGCCAGAATCCCACCTCCTGAAAGTCACATTCTTAATTAGTACTGGAATCTTTGCTTTTTTCCTTCTGAATTAGTAGTGACTGGTATTATGACCATCAAGAAGCTGATTAGCAAGAAGGTGTATTTGCTTGTGTTTTTAAAGCTGTTTGTAGCAGAATCAAAGAAGGACCAAGTGCATTCCTCATGATCAGTATTGCTTTATGACAATAAACTTAATATCGAGGGATGGTCCCAGTATTTTCCTCCTTTGGGAGCCATTATCTCTCATGCACAGTTGGAAGACTTTGTGACTAAGGCACAGGGCATTAATGTCACGTTACACCTTTGGGTATAGTCAGGCCAAATACGCAAATGTGAAGTGAGCGCTAAAAAAAGTCTCCCTCTGAACCAACTGCATCGCTGCCTGCACTTGACTCATCACTCAGTAACCATATGCTTATATTCCACTGACAATTGCCATTTAAATGTCAGTTTACAAGCAGATGTTGAGAACCCGCCTTTGTGCCATTAATTAAATCACAGAAAAGCAAAGTTTGAGGTTTAAGGCTGGTTAGCTGACCTACGATGAGAGCAGAGCGGAGTCCAGCAGACCGGGACGCACCGGGGCGGTCAGGGTTACCCGACAGGGGCAGAGGAGCCTGTACACGAGGTCACTGCAACAGCCTCGGCTAATGGGCTTTGGCAGCCAAATAAAGTGTGTTGTTGGCACTTCCTAGTGGAATTATAATTTTGTAGACAATTCCAAGTTTTGTGGGATGGCTGGCAGAGGCCAGGATCAGGGGGAAATGTTGGACTGTGAAAGAAGACAGATTTAAGTGCTCAGGTGCAGAAAAAAAGACAAAAATCTATTCAATAGCAGATCAAGCAAAATATGGAAGGGTGGAGAAGGAAGCCCTCTCTACTCTACCAGACATTTGCATGTATTTAAAATCCTTCCCAATAAAGTTCATAATGAATTTAATTCAGTCCCCTATGGCCCAGAGGAATGTTCTGAGTAATAAAAAAGTATTGCTAAGGGACAGATGACTGCCAAACTCCTATTCTGTGCCAGCAATGCATATTTATATCATTAGCACTTAAACGCTAGGTTTATTTTACTACATAAATGATTCTTTTTCACATATTAAGAATTAATACTGTAAGATCCACTTGTGGGAAGTTATAATAACAATGCCTAATTGTTAAATTTGCATACTTTACTTTTAAAGAGGTTTGGGGTGTTTTTTTTTTTTTTCAGACTCAAATAATAGTTGACTGTGGTAATTTCTATTTTGGGTAAACTATTTTGTGGAAACTATTTTGCGGCTGGTTTATGGCTTAGCTCTTAAAATGATTTTAGCCAAGGATCTTTTCATGTCTTTTTTTTTTTTTTTTTTTTTTTTTACCTTGAAATATCTACATCAATGTTAAATGAATTGTAAGCTGAAACACTTACTTAAAGGTTGAGATGTATTCACATACACATAGTCAACTAGATAACACAAGGGCTCCTGGCTTCCGTTGGCATGGTCTAATGCACTTCTGATGATTAAACTGAGTGATTCAAACGTGTGTCGGATATTTCAAGCACCAGTGATGGAGGCCACTGGACCACAGCATTACTTTGTTTATAAATATCATTATTCCATGGAAGATAAATCTCTGCTCTCATCTAGTATGTCACTTCAGTGCAGCAGCCAGGAAAATGGAAAAAAAAAAAATTGGAGCTACTAATTTTTTTCTCTTTAATAAGGAGGAGTGGAAGGGAAGGTTGGATATGAGATGAAATGTGAAGGAGTCTAAATCCGAGCAGGCAGCAAGCTCAAGGGAAAAAATGCATCAGTACTTGTCTAAGATGCAGTTTGGTTTTACATTCAAGCCGATACGTTGTTTAAGCACCTTTTGCACATTACAGTACAACACAAGCTTCTACAGCCTCTGTACAAGTTCAAATTGATGGCAGCAGTGATTCAGTCAAAGTATTTAATATGCTAAGGTCCGAACATAAAGCTTTCCTTCTGATGCACTTCAGTTTACTTCATACCACCACGTCAAGTGTGAACAGTTGGAAAAAAGATTGTGAATTTGTCAGCCTGTTTATTTACATAGTGCATCTCCTTTGAATCAACAAGCATTTTTTCCAAGTGTAAAAATGAACAATTACTCATCCCTGGAAAACAATAACATTTTACAGATGTCTCCTCCCACTCCCCAAAAGACTAACCTCACCGCACCGTGCAAGGGCGCAAGCAGCTCATTTTTCACTTGCTGTACACACAACGAAATATTCAGTTCCCCAGAACAAGTGTGTCTGAAGAATCTAAGGGGAAATCTTAAGCATCTGGCAGTTTGAACTAAAAAGAAAGGTCAACGGCAAATAATTCAGATACAAGCAAAAAATCAGACATCTCCGAGCACTGCGTTGGAGCTTTCAAACTGAACGCACACGCTGTTTGCTCAGTTTTTCCCAGCAGCATTCATAATTTAGGAAACTATTAATCAGCATGATGCAGTATCCCGTTTCTAACTAAGAAAAAAAAAATTACACTCCAGAGCTTCTTTTCTTTTCCCTTGGAAATGATTATCTGGTAAAGTTTAACAAGAATTCTGCTGACCTGGGTCTGTAGGCTTTGCGTTTCAGTCGCACAGGAGAAGCCACAGTGGAGCAGTGGGGGTCCTTTCGCTGCCTTTTTCTAAGGCCTGTCCCAAGTCACTGCTCAGGGCTTCTTATTTTCTGTTGGTCTGTGCCAGGACCGCTATCCATGTGTTTGTTATGCTGACAGCAGAGAAAAAAGCACCGAAGGCCAGAAAATTGGCAGGACTACTACAAAATTCAGATCAGCTTTTGACAGAGCCAAAACAGGTACTGAAAAATGAGGCAAGGAGGCAGGGGAAGAGTAGGGCAGCCAAGAAAAGGGGCACGGGATTGTGTAGGAATGGGAATGAGAATAAAGAGGCTGTGGCTGAGGAGACTTATAGTCATTAAAGAACTGAAAATGGCAAAGGTAAATATATTTATTGCTTGCCTACTAAGAACGGCTGACCAGGGCTCTTAATCTAGTGCTGTAAATTTAAGATGTGATACTTCCCCCTCCTACCAAACTGACTATGACATTGATTACAGAAGCAAATGATCAAAAAGACAACTTTTATTTGGTAGCTCATTGAGTGAGTTCATAAATTTGTTAAAGTAATTATAGCTTTCACTAACAAAATTAACTTCTTTGGGAGAAAAAAGAAAAAAACAACAACAACTAAACCATCAGACATTTCATACCTTTTCTTTGCTTAGGGGTGGTGGTAGAGAGAACTTGAACATACCCTGTTCAAGCCCTGGCAGTTTCAAAGTTATGAAAAATCCTTCTTCTCTTTTCTGCCTCCCCTCCGTGTTACATTCATGCCTTCCCACTGGTGAAGTATCATTTTCCTGGCTTGAAAAATCAGCGTGCACTATTTCAGAATTGCGTTCCTACAGTGACTGTTCAATGGGGGAACTCTGACTTATGTCTAGACAGGTAAGAATTAAAATGTGTCTGTGCTTCTGTAGGGAAGGGAGGCTAGATGTTGGAGGAGCTTAACAATATCACAAAAGCCTGCTTGGAAGGGAAACTGTGCACCAACAGGACACTCTGCTGTTTTGTGCTCCTGCAGCAGGGAAGCCAACCTGCGGCCTCTGCTCCCTCTAAGTGCTCCTCTAAGGCACGTTCCTGCAAAGAGAAAAACAAAGTGGGAACAGTGAACTGGTGGCTGTGCTGCATTTCAGAGGGAATGCCTGATGGGGGGAGCACTGAGAGGAATTATTTGGTGTACCTGGTATTTCACTCCCGATGCCAGGAATGCTGATGAGGGTTTGCATGTCCTTCTCCTGTGTGGCTCCTGCCCAGCCACCGAGCCCGCTCGCGTCCTCCCTGCGTGCCGGCAGGGCCGCCGTTCTGCAGATGGAGTCACCGCTGCGGCCCTAGTGAACGCCGGTCCACAGAGGCAGAATTTTCAGACACCCAACACTTAAATCACCCCCTTTTTAATGCCATTAGTGATGCAGCAACATGTATTTATATTTACATATAAATACAAAATGGTCAGATACCACATTTTCAAGCATAATTTATAATCTGAAACTGCTTACACTTTCATGACTAGGCCTGGGTTTTTCTCATTTACATTCATAATTAACATTCCACTGGAATTTGATTTTTAAGAAAGCCCAACATATCTTAATTACCATAAAAAGATCCATACATATTTTACTTAAAAATATCTTCTGTAAGAGGAAATTTACCAAAAATAACACGAAATATATTATTATGCATACATTTTCCTTTTTGTAAAGTACAAACAAGAATCTGATCTCTTCTGGGTATTGCCTGATCTAATATGGCTATAGGTTCTATTTATTTTGTTTGCTTTTCAAAGTAAAGGGAAAGACATAAGAAATGTAAGAACACAAACCAAAATAAAAATGCATTCTTTCCAAAGATACAGATATCAATGAAAGAACACTTTGAAAACTAATAAATGACAATAGGTACAAAGAAACACTATCCAAGCACTCTGCAGTCTTTTGTCAAAGCATGTGCTGCAGTGACCTTGTAACAGTTATTAAAAACAACAAACAAAAAAATGCTACTGGCAGAAAAAGCTGTCAAGCAAAACATTGAAAAATCGGTACTATTTCCTAACAAGTGCAGAACTGATACTAAGTATTTGATGTTTTTTTTCCCCCATGTATGCACACCTCTTTCTTCCTCTTTCTGTTTGCAGGACTGATTGTTGCAACTCTGGCAATATGCTGGATGCCAAACCAGGTCAGAAGGATCATGGCTGCTGCTAAACCAAAGCAGGACTGGACTGTCCCCTACTTCAGAGCGTACATCACTCTTCTCCCCATCGCCGACATCTTCTTCTACCTCAGCTCGGTGGTGAACCCCCTCCTGTACAACATCTCTTCTCAGCAGTTCCGCAGCGTGTTTCTGCAGGTCCTCCGCTGCCGCCTGACGATACAACATGCCAACAAGGAGAAGCTTCTCAGAGCCAACCTGAGCTCCAGAGCGAGGAGCAGCCGGTCTCTACGCCCGCTGCTCTTCATTTCATCTAGGCGCAATTCTTCTACAAGGGACAGTAACAAAGTTTTCTTAAGCACTTTTCAGAATGAGACCAAGCCTGACTGCAGTCCACAGAAACCCGGTCGTGAACCACCGGAGCCCAGCGTGGAAGTAGTGCCGCTAGAGACTAGCTCAGAGCCCAGTCCAGACGCACAAAACGGCCGTTGTGAACATCAAGTATGACTTCATAAGGCAAAGTTAACGATTAGCAATGAACTTAAAAACATGGAAATTAAACTGACCGAGGAACTGACTACATCGTAAAAGGAGTAACACAGATGGATTTGTTTCCAGTTATGCAAAAAGAGCAGGAGTTCTGTATCCTGCTGCTGGGATTTTTAAGTGCACACTGGAAATTCAATCTGCCAATTGAACTCATTAGCTGCCAAAAATATCAGCCCCTCTCTCCCCACAACCACTGAACTTCCCTCGCTGTTGACAGGGATTTGGAAACAAACAGAAAATAATTGCAGTGTCTTCGAAGAAAGGAGGGGACAGACAAACTGTGTCAGGGCAAAAAACTTGCTTGAAGTTTAGCAATACAAAAACAACAGGGCCAATTTAGGGAGCAGGACTGTGGTTATCACGTGTGCCCTCAGCACCGCACCAGAATTCCCCCTCTTCTTCGGCCGGGGTCCATTGCAGAGCGGCGTGTTGCAGCAGCTGATACAGACAGAGTTCACCTTCCCTGGAGAACAAAAGGACTGGTACCCAGCAGAGGCTATCAGACACGCCGCGGAAGATGCGCAGGATTTGCGATACATGATTCCTGTGACACAGAGCAAAGGTTACTTAGTTTCAAATGAACACGGGTTTGCTTTCCAACACCATTCATGCTTGAAACTGTTGCAAAACCAGTTCAGGGTTTGGAAGCAATGCTGGTGCTGAAGCCAGGCGCCTCAGCTGTGACACCGCCAGCAGCTCTGCACTGCAGAAGCACAGCCACTCTGGTTGGGATTTTTCTTGTATTTGATTTTGGTGGGAACCAAAAATATTACAAACGTGATTTACATAATGTGTATCAAGTGATGCATTTTATAACCAGAATCCTTCATCTTTTGGAATACGCTGCTTGGATAGATATGACCAAAATGCAGTTTGTTTGAAAATTCCTTTTGTCTCTGTTGCTGAACATGTCTGAGTTGTTTAAGGTGTCTAAGTAATTATAGTTTTCTATGCTGTTAATTTGTTGTAAGCATTTTTTTTTTCCCTTTTCTTGTTCCTTTACCACACAGAGACAAGTAGCCAAGAGTAAAAGGAGAATGACTATCAGCAAAACTTTTATCTCCCCCTGCCCTTTTTGTTTTTTTAAAGACAAACTAGAAGTACTTTTCCAGGTAATCTCAGTTCTTGCTGTCTTTGAAGCTTATTACCCTCAACAACAAAAATTTCCATTTGTACAGAAATGTCTTTTCAGAGTTGAAACTCTTCCCTTTTAAAATAGAATTTAAATTAATCTAATTAAATGTATAATTTCTCAAATTGTTTTTACCTGAAAAAAGAGCATTCTGATGTACATGATGATCTAGCTGTTATTTTAAAATGATTTACAAAAGTTTTAAAATACACAGTTGCATTTTCCCCTGTCACACTGGAAAATGGTTGTGGCAGTTCCACCCCTCATTACTCTAAAATTTTCCTGCAAGCGGTACAGTAGAAATTGTGTGTGAGAGAAATATACACATAACCCATAAATAGATAATGGGGGTTTGCTCATATCGCCTGGCAATTACAAAAAGAGGTAAATATTTCTGAGGATAATAAAATGACTATTCTTTTGAATATGGGATTCTCAGAAGTGTTTTTTCCATCTGAAGGGCATGGGAACAAGATTCCCATGGAGAACGGTGCCTCTGCATCCTGTAGCACAGCCCCAGAGTGTCTTTAAATACAGTGACTGAGACTTTTTTTGGAGGGAGTGAAGCAGGACTATAACCTGTAGGTACTGAACTTACAGTACCTGCAGATACTTGCTCAGTCCCCGGGGGCTTTGGAAATAAGCACTACAGCTCCTACGCAGCCCCGCAGCCACCTCTGCAGCAGCGACTGCCCCTGCGCTGCCAAGTGCTCTGTGCAGCAGCAAAACACTGTTTGGGTTATGCTCAGAAAGAAGGATTTCCTGTCTTCAGAGAATTTTAATTAAAGCAATTCTTTTATACTGTCACAACATTGCTGCCATCCCAACAACACAGGGGTTTCCCTGGTTTGTGTTCTCCCTCTGCAAATCTAAACTCTGAAACGTGCTTTAAGGCTATCCATCTACTTAAACTTATGAGGACAAGCCCTCAAGTCGGCGTTAAATCTTCCTCTGTCTCCACTGAGCTTCAATCAATCAACACAGCAGGTAGAGCCTTTTCTGAAGAAAGAAGAGGAGCTATGTTCTATGTTCTAGCTGTAACAGCGAAGGCACACTGATGAAGAGGCACAATCTTTACTACTATAGTTTGCAAAAAGAAGGGAGCTCTGTCTCTGCTGACAAACCACTGCTGTCAGGGAGCCTCAATTGTGCTACCACTGATCGGCTTCCAATACTGAAATCTCAGCTGATGTTTCCCACAAAGACCTGGTGCTTTGTCCACGGCCCTCCCACAGTCTTCCAAAAGCTGAGGCAGACGTGACCCTTCTCATGGCTGCGATTAACTTTTTCCCTTCCCCTTCCCTCTTGAGAAAGAAATCCTGTATTCAATGGAACTAGGCACTGCGATTGTTCTCCCATCTCTCATCCCGCATCCCCGCATCACATATTCCTTCCCTGCAGCTACAGGCACCCGCCAAACTTGGCCGTTCCTCAGTCTTCCATAAGAACAGCAGTGAATCTCGACTTTCCCCTCAAAGACCAAGCCTGTAAAAAGCTTTTAACATTGGAAGGTTTCCTATTCCCATTGTTTTATGGATCGTTCTCTTCCTGCCATTTGCTTTTTGCAGGATTTCTGCAAAGCCCTGTTCACAATTTGAACTAGTAAGTGATTTATTAGTTCAGGTCCCTGAAACACATATACTTTGCGCTTTTCCCATAGACAGGAGACTAGCGGTTCAGTGCTGTGAACAATTACACAGTGCCCTCTGAGGCATGGTTTTCACCAGGCAACTCTAGGAGACCTCTCCTGCAAAAAATCAAAGCCCTCCAGTTTAACTCCATGTGTTTACAACAGCTCTGTTCTCCAGGATAAATGCCATGGACTAATTCTGAGCTCCTTTTGAAGTCAAAACACAGTATTCCTGCACAGACCAAAATTTTACGACTCAAAGTTTCACATACAGATGGACCATGTTCATGCCTAAATAGAATAATCTAACTAGTAGTAAAATCCCATTATAACGCTTCTTCTGTGGCTTTTCTGTAAGTATGTCTTGCAGTAGGAAATTCCACTCCCAAATAATTGTTTATTCCCATTCCCAGCTCTAGTAATCTGAATTGTAACAAGATTTTTAACATAATTAAACAAGTCAGCACTTCTATCAGGTTTTCAATAGCTACGTAGCTAAAGACCTGCCCTTCACAGCCAAGGGTTTTTTCTTTAAGTACTGATAGATCCTTTTGAGCTCACAAATCAGCTGCTAAAATACACTAACTGTGCTTTTTGCAAAGCATCAGGTATGAACTAAACTTGATCACCACAGAAAGGCTGTGCTTTTTCCCTAATTCTGCAGTATCTTTATAGCAAGATACAACAAAAACAGGCATAGAAGATTGATGGAAAAAATAGAGAATGTTAGCACTACAGGAGTGACATTTTTAAAACACTTCAGCCGTGACTTCACTTTTTTTTTTTTTTTTTAACATGAGTGTGAAAAAACAATGACACTTCAAACACTATGAAATAAAGAAAGGCAGGAAAAACACCTGTAAACCGTCCTCCCATCATACTGTGATTCCAGTTTAATTGTGATAGGAAATAAATTAGCATAACTGATGCCCATGGTTTGATGCCAGGGACGCTGCTCTCCTTGCTCCAGCAAACAGGTTACTGCACCCCAGGTACTGCCGCTCACCCACTGAGTTCTGATGGGACAGCAGCAGCCTTGCTGGATTAGCTCTGGAGATTCTCCCTCAGGCTCCTCTCTTACAGTGGTTTACTGTGCTGTTGAGCCAGTTCTGAAACTATTTCTGAGATCTTCCTGATTCATTTGCCACCAGCAGGCTGAACTGCAGACGGTTCTTCAAAGTGGTTATCTGCCTCATAAGACTCATACCACAGACGTAACTGCTAATTACCAGATATTCTTGCTTGAACAATCAGCTTGATACATTCATTAACACATCACCTAGAAAAATAATTGCAAACCTTTCTGGGAGCTTTTCTTCTACTCCAGACTGTTATGAGTTGCTGGCTAGGCAAGAATACATGTTGTACACTGCTTTTACCAGGATGGGGTCATTCCCAGCTACCTACCCTCAACAGTTTACCCGAGTGCTCAGTTAGTATACTTACTAATATACAATTAGTATATTTACCGCCCAACCTCTTCATGGATGTGTACCTAATAATTCATCCTTTTTCACTGATTCACCAGCCCCCCAACAGCAGTGTGGGTTATGTGTATGTGTAGGCAGGTGTTTTACTATGAAGTACCTACTACTGACCAATTGATTTTCCTTCATTTTCAATATTTTCGATTCAAGGTTCATGGGGTTGGCTGAGGATGTAGTTCAAGTACTTTTAAGGAGAGAGAGGAGTATGCAAGGCTAGAATACCTGTGTGATAATGCAGCAGTACTCCACACTCTCTCCTTCCACATACACCTACTACAACTACTTCCTTTTTCTCTTTTTTTTAATTACAAAAAAAAAAAAAAAAAAAAAAAAAAAGCTTTGGGCTTAAATTGGTCATTGAAAATTTACTCCTAGACTGAGCAACTTGCCCATTGTTACACCTCTCTCTGTCCCACATGTGATCATACAGTTAGCTATGTCAAGGTCCAAACTATTTCTGGAGGATTTTTGCCTTATTCCATGCAATGAAGTGATGGTGCAAATCTCAAAGCTTTTTTACAGTTCCTGCTTGCAATACTGATTTTCTCACCTGGATCCATTCTATACACACCCCTTACAGCTGCCAAGCTCACCCAGGCCCCCACTTAAGCTGCAGCCCAGTCCTGTGCATTCGCACCCTGGCAATGCTTTGGCCACATCCAGATGCATTCAGGCTTGACAGCAACAAAAAATCCACACTACAATTTATCCAAATCCAAAAGTGAGAGTTCTTCCACCTACCCTGTCTACAGAGCCCAGTACACGTTCTCTTGAATAACAGCTTAACTTGTTACTAAGACAACCAAAAAAGGTGACATCACACCTACTTCTTACAGTGTGCGTATGCAGAAGGCACCAGAAGATCCAAGCTTTTTCTCTTACTGCTTGAAAAGAATCTTATTAGGCACCTCTGATTCTTCTGTTATAGCAGGTACAGACAAAAAAGAGCAAGTGTAAGCACTCCCAATTTAAGAGCAACCATAATCCAAGCAGTGTGTAACTTCAGTTTGCACCTGTGCTCTCAAGACTGTCCTTCAGCAAAATACACAGTCTCTGAAGCCAAAATAGGCAACTAGGATACCACCTCCAAGATCAGTGACCTAATTTCTAAAAAAACAGTCACCTTCCCACTCTGTGACCCAACCACTCTGAAACTGCTTTCTGCAATGGCATACCTCAGCAGGAAATCACAGCCCTCTGCCTTATGGCCACAAAACTCTTTGCTGTAAGTTTGACTCCAGTCAAGCAGGTGATGTCATTTTGCCCAACACAAGCTTTTCCAAGCCAAATACTCT